ACATCCACTGAGTTAATCCCATTTCCGTTAATTATTGCATATACGCTGTGGTACCACTGTTTGATAGCATGTCTCGGGTTATGTCAGAGTTGGTGATGCCATTTTTGTTCCTCTTGTGCAAGGGCCTTCTAATTCTGCCATACCTGCTGTATATAATTCTTCTGGAATTCGTTGTCATCCATTAGCTTTCAGTGGGAGGGTGGGAGGTGTAGTTTCCGTTTGGCGTGTCTGTTTCTTGTTGTTATGCTTCATCGATATGCTCTATCTATTGGGTGTCGTTTGGCTTAGTATCAGTTTTGAGCAACTCTGCAGTTTTCGATGTATGTTCAGTAGGGGCCTTGAAATTGCCATAGTTCGTGATAACATGCCTTGTCGTTTGGTTGCGCATCTATCCTAACGTGATGACGTTGGCGGTACTACACTCGCACTCAACAGCTTCATTTTCCCCTCTCACTATTTGGCATGCAGTTTTGTCAGAGGAACTTTGAGAAGGACTGTGGAACGAACCATTCTGGTATATTGTAATTGCAGTTTTTTATTTCCCTTTTAGTGACTTTAGCTCAAGAATACATGGTTTAAGTGGAATTGATAGACTTGGAACTTGGCTTTGACAATGACTTTCCTAGATGGCGTAGTATTTTGTGGGAGGTGCTCCTGTAGCTACAAGTGCTCATGTTGTTGAGGAATAGTGCCCTCTCTCGCTGACTTTTTGAAGATCAAATCGTTGTGGAAAAAATGCGTAAATGATCACTTGGTAACGCACATCTTCGATGAGCTAATCTACTTCATGTAATTGGAAGATAACGATTATGGGATATCTGACGACTTGTATTGAATGGCGACATTTTGAGAAGATTCATGATCCGAAGTAACAGACATCCAGTCCTGTCTTTATTTGAAACCTGTGGAGTCACATTGCGAATCATCTATCTATCATGCCTTTACTTGCAACCTTCTTCGCATAATAGCAGAAAAGATTTGTGGAGGAATTCTCAATCAGAGTAGCAGATGAGCTGTCTTGAAGAGATTCGAAATTTTCCTATGACGAGGAGAGCCATTCGTTTGCGGAGCATTTTGATCACCTGGAATATGATGTACAAAGAAGTCTGAGTTAGTGGATTAGAAGATGTGGAAACGCCACGAACACCGGTAAATCCCATTTAAGTATTGTCTTCACCTTTGTTTAGCGAAGTACGCTGGTCGTTTCCGCTAATTGGAACTCCTTTATTGCTTCATGCGAAATGCGAACCTGTAACTGTAGTCTCAAGCACATCAACAGAAAAGTATAGAATGCAGCCGACTTTGGGTGAAGATCAGTCACGTTTCGTTTTTTCCAATGCATCTTCGTCGCTGTTAACGGCATGCCAGTTTTCCCGATCTGAGAGCTTCAGAAAAGAGAGAGAGATGAATTAGAAGTACGGTGGTGAATTCTAGTTTGGAAACTCAGCTTTAGAAACTTACGAGGAAAACGATCAAAACCGTCGTTACAAGAAGCGCAGATGTTCAAGCTCAATAATCAATAGCCACCAAGTCTTTTCCTGCTGCTATTTCCACTTCAAAATCATAAACGCCGCTGCTGTAAGAACCAGTCGATCCTGACGCATGAGACAAAGCCGGTAAAAGCCTTCGTTATTCTCTTTTTTTGAGTCTCTTTCTAGCACTTTCGGTCACACTGTGTTCGCCTTCGTGGTATCACGCGAATGTTCGAAGCTTTTCATGTGGGACAGCTCTATGGTTTTTGCGGGAAGAAAATCTACCTAGCAGCCGCAATGAAGAGTCGGTGTCCGTCAACCTCGTATCAACTATCATCCATCTCTAAGGCGTGAGCGCTGATGCTTTATGAAGAAACCAAATTGGCTGTATAAGGCGAAACCGGTAAAACCCCTCGTTAGCGCTCTTCTAGTAGATCGCTTTCTAGCACTGTCGACTTTACGCTGTTATGGCTTTCCATGGATACAGTAACAGAGAACTTCCAAGACTTTTCCTTTGTGCGAGAATTGCTCTGTGGTTTCCGAAATTTGTGTAGGAATTGCGCAACGCGTGTTGGTCAATACTACATGCCCATTATGAAGAAGCGCAGATGATTAAGCTGGAAAATATGTTGCAACTACCTTGTCTACTTGAATGTGTAGTCCGCTTCGAAAAGCGCGTGCGACAATGCCACAAGACAAATCGAATCTGCTGCATGAGAACCGGTAAAACCCCTTTTTAGTACTCTCTTAGTTGATCGCTTTTTCAGCACTGTCGACCTTACGGTAGTAGCTTCCCCGGATGCATTGACGGAGAACTTTTGAAAACTTTTTTTGTGGAACTCTACGATTTTGCGCTGAACTCCATCAACCTCTGCGCTGAACAACCTTACAAGCGGCAACGTTGATGTCGGTCAAAATCACATGCCTATCAAGAAGTGCAGATGACTAAGCTCGAGAATCACCCTGTCCTCTTCTACTGTTTGAATGTGCCACACCACTCGCGCAACGATGCCATAAGACCAGTCGAATCTGCTACATAAAGAACCGGTAAAACTCCTTGTTAGTGCTCTTCTCGTTAACCTTTTTTTAGCACTGTCGATTCAATGATGATATGGCTTTTCTTGGATGCAGCGACGAAGAACTTCCGAAATTTGTGTAGAAATTGCGCAACGCGTGTTGGTCAATACTACGTGCCCGTTATGATGAAGCGCAGATGACTAAGCTCGAAAATCGCCTTGCAACTACCAAGTCTTCTACTGTTTGAATGTGCAGTCCACTTCGAAAGCGCGTGCGACGACGCCATGAGATCAATCGATTTTGTTGCATGAAGAACCGGTAAAACCCCTCATTTGTGCCTGCCTAGTTAGTTGCTTTTTAGCACAGTCGACCGCATGGTGATATGGGTTTGTGTATGCAGATGAAGAGCTTTCGAAACTACTTTTTGTGCTGAAATTGCTGAGTGGTCATGCGCCAATTTCAACTCTAGAAGTCTTAACGAAGAAATCCGTCAAAACTATTCATTAATAAGAAGCGCAGATGACTGAGCTCAGAATCAACATGCGTCTACCGAGCCTTTTTGCTGACATCAACGTATGCCCGCCTCGAATACGTATGTGCCGATGCTGTGAGAGCCCATCGAATCTGACGCACAAGACGGAATCGGTAAAACTCCGCAACAGTACGCTTTTATTGGTCGCTTTCTAGTACTTTCGTCGCATGCTGGTATCGCGTTTTTGGACTCTGTGATGGAGAATATTCGGAGAATTCTGTACGGAAAACTACCTTCTGCTTTTGAAACGATTCTAGAAGACGCAATGAGGAAAGCGGTCAAAATTACCGAGAAGCGCAGATGACCAAATTTGAGATTCAACATGAAACTACCGAGTCTTTTTATGCTGATCTGAAAGTGCTGTCCGCCTCGAAACCACGAGCGCTGTTGCTATGGAAATCAGTCGAATCTGACGCAAAAGATGGAACCGGTAGCCCTTTTTAGTTCTTTTCAATTGATCGCTTTTTAGTGCGTTGGACATGTGCTATCATTTCTCTGTACGACAATGAATGCTCCTTTTCTGAGCCTTTCGGTTGGGAACTCAGCTTTAGAAGTTCAGCTTTAGAAGTCGCGTTACGAAGAAATCGTTCAAAACTTCTCATCAACTAGAAGCGCATATGTTCGAGAATCAGCATGCTGTACCGGGTCTTTTCTCCTGCCCTGAAAGTACAGTTCACTTCGAAAGCGCGAGCACGATGCCATAAGAGCCAATCGAAATTGCTGTTCAAGATGGAACCGGTAAAACCCCTCGTTAGTACTCTCTTAGTCAATCGCTTTTTAGCATTGTCGACGTTACGCTAATATGGCTTATGCAGCAGCGACGTTTTCGACATTTTTTGTATGGAAATCGCTAAATGGTTTTACGCTAAACTCGACTCGGGAGTCAGTCAAATCTGCCCATTATCAAGAATCGTAGATGACTAAGCTCGAAGTACAATAAGCGACAGCTTTTTTGCGGCTCTCAACGTACTATGCGCACCGAAATCGTTAACGACGATGCTTTACAAACCAATCCACTCGACGCATAGGAAGGAAGCGGTAAAACTCGACATTAGTTCCCTTTTAGTCGGACGTTTTCTAGCACTGACGACCTCATGCTGGTGTATCGTTTTTCTTGGATCCAGCGGCGGACAGTTTTCGAAATTTTCGCTATGGAGAAGTGGTTCATGGTTTCGTAGTTCGAACTCAACTCTAGAAGTCGCAACAAGGAAATCGCTCAAAACTAAGCAATCGCAAGAAGCGCAGATGACTAAATTCGAAATTCAACATTATGCAACTACCGAGTCTGATCCAAAAATGCGTCCACAATCGCAAGCAATTCGAAAACGAAGTGCCCCTGCTATATGAACCAATCAAGTCTACGCATTAGATGGAACCGGTAAAAGCCCTTCCTAGTACTTTTTTGACTGATCGCTTTTTAGCGCTTTCGATCTCGTTATCATTTTTGTGGACAGCGACGTTGGAAGCTCACAACTTTTGTCATTGGAAGAGCTGCTTCATGGCTTTGCACCTGGAATTCAGCTCAGACGTTCAATGAGGAAATCGGTCGAAGCTACCCATTAACAAGAAGTGCAGATGGCCCAGCTTAGGATACTACATACAACCATCGGTTATTTTACTGCTCTGAAATGCTCTCTACCCGAAATCGCAAGCGCCGCTGCTATGGGGACCAATCGAATCTGATACATATGAAACCGGTAAAACCCGTCATTGATGCTCTCTTACTCAGTCGCTTTTCAGCACTTTCACATGCTGGTAGTACTTTCCTTGGATACAGCAACGGTCAATGTTTGAAAATCCTTTTTTTGTGGAAATTGCTTCATGGTTTTGCGTTTGGAATCTTAGCGCTGGAAGTCTAAACGACGAAAACGGTCAAAGCTAATCCTTTGCAAGAAGCGCAAATGCCCAAACGAGAATCAGCTACCGACTTTTTTCCTGCTGCTAGGAAGTAACTGTCAAGCTCGAAATCGTGAGCAGAGATGCTATCTGAACCTGTCGAATCTCACGCCACCAATGACTGTCTGGTAACTGCGTTATCCCCTTTCGTTTGCTCTAATCTTTTTCAGACTTTTTCGCTGATGCGGTCTCCTGCGAATGCCTTTGTCAGAAAAGCAGCGGTTCATAGTGAGCAGTAGTAGAATACAACCAACTTCAAATTCGCTGTGGTGGACTGCACAACTTTTGGTCGCAAATCGAGTTCGAAATTCAAGCGTCCTCCGAACCCTCCTCCGCTTGCTGACTGCACCATGCTTTTGCTGTTGAGATTCCTTCGATGCTAGAAAGTTATGTCAAGCGAAAGACATTCCGCGAATGGTGTGGATGATTGCTGTTCATGCTGGTCAAATTATTACACTTTGGCGAGTCTAGCTCCATCCTTAGCTGTCTGGACGCTCTTCAAAAATTAGAACGATAAGCGAAAGCGTGATGTTGATGCTTGCTTTGCTGATCGCCGTTAGATTCGTGCCCAAACCCGCTAGAAATTTGGAAACGATTGTTACTCTCCTTCGGAAACTGATGTGTGACAGTCTTGTTCGGTACGCTGGAGAGGAGTAAAGATTATGGTGCTCAGTGGCGAAATTGGAAGACTATCATTTTGTAAGATGCGGCTCAGCGATTCTTCTCGACATGATGATTTTCGAAACAATTTTGCGAAACTCCAAACGAACGAAATGGGTGACTTTGATGCTTTTTTGGAAGTTTATGGGTGCAGTTGCTAATTCATGGATTAACACTGTGCGGTCATCTCCTCTCCAAACCATCATGCGCACTCGATATTTTGTCATCTGTTTAAAGAAGCTATTTGCGGATCACCTCGATGTTTACTTTTGGATGGATCATTGGTAGTCATGGTCAGAAAGAACGCGTCTACTATTCTGCGAGACCCAAACCCTCAAGAAGTTGCCGCCAATATACCGTTCCCTTTTGTCTTTCGACAACGCTTTTTGTGAGCCGCATGGAAGTCTAACGGATTCTTGTGTTTTGGAGATGATCGATCGTTGTGTCGCCGTTTTTGATGGCCTTTGCTTTCGAAGAAGAACAAGATGTTAGATCATGGGAATTGCTTTTGTAATTATGGAAGAAGAACGAGCATATCATGCAGCAATCGCATATTTTGTGAAGCGGTCATGGAATACAAATTATATGGAGAATAGGCGGAGTTCTGTAGCAGATAGAGGATGAAACAGAAACGGTATGGTGATGCTTAGAAGAACTGAAGGCGAACTAGGACCCAGGGCAGTTTTTCCTGTTTATGATGGCGAATGAGTGAATGTATATAATCCGTGAGAAAGTCTCGTCTCGAGCGCAGGTGGTGGTAATTTGGAGTATGTGTTTTTATTATTATCTCACAAGGATTGCATGCTTCGTTATTTTCTTCAGGTTCTTTTGTGTGAAAGAATGTCGTGATTTACGTGAATCGGGCGAGCTAAGCGCTTAGAGGGGTGGAGGAAGATGAGAGAAACATGACACGGCGCAGATCAGTTTGATGATGAGATGCGGAATGATGCTGAGTATTCGCGAAACATGCTACCTTCGAATCTTTTTGGAGTGTTGATAAGCAGTGCTTACGGATATTGGCCCATAGTTCATAACAAATCTGCGATCAGTGCGTTTAATCTCGTAAATGGATGAAGTGATGGGGAAGTTCAATGCGCCGATGCCGATAATATCGTGATGCTGAAGATTTTCGAGTGCGTGGTGCAACACGGGACTGTATTTGGGTGCTGAAGCGCTAGTCATCAGGTAAAACCTCTTTACTGAGCACGTGTTCATCAGTTTCAGGCTTTGGGAGGTAATACGATAGTCCTACTGTTCTCGTCATTGCGCCGATTCTTTTTTGTGACCTTTGGTTTCTTGGATGTTTGTGATTAGTGAGCTAGCGACCGTAATGGTATCAAATCACTCTGCCCTCCTTATGGAAGTATCTACTCACATTATCTGACGGAATAATTAGTGTGCAATCAATCGTCTGCGTACTGCTAAGCTCCGAGAATGATAGCTAAAGCTAACAGATTGAAGAAAGTTATTCTCCAATGTTTTCAATCCTATCTCCTTCGTGGTTTGCTTTGCTGATGGTTATGCGAAATTTCAAACTTCTGAACTTCTCTAATGTAAGCAACGATCGGTTATGTTTTTTGTGCGCGTGCCACAATATGTTTCCACATGCACCATTGCCTTGGATTCAGTCTACTGGAATTTCCACCGTAGAGGTTTGCTATCTTCTGATTTCAGATTAGTTTCATTGTTCGTTAACTTATCTTTGTAAACTATCATAGAGAGATACAATCAAATCTTGGGGTAACTTGAATGTAATAATGCATATATTCCCTTATCGTTTCCCATTTTGTTGGGAGGGACGGGTGGGTTCATTCTTTTTGCAGATTATCACTGCGGAATACTTCATGATAGAAGGCTTTATGGGTTGTATGTAGAAGTTATCCTTTGAAAATTCTGTTTATTCATTAGATAAAAAGTGTGGTCACCTGTTTGTGCTGGTTGGGTCGTAGTTTATAGAATGGCAATGCGTTTTGTATGGCTCGCTTTCGTATGAGGTCATTCATTATGTTCTAATTATTCGCAGTGTCAAATGCATGGAATTTGGTATGCGTGATTTTGTAAAATGTTTTTCTGTTACTGAGCATAGCCTGAAATTGAGTTTCTTGATTATTATGGCGCTTGTTGAATCATAGACTTTGATTGCAGTTTTCTTCTTCTTCAGTAGCTAATTTTTGCATAATAGTCTGTATTTCTTCTTATGCATTTAGCTGCAAATTTTCGGTGTAGCCTTATTTGCTTGGGTTCAACATTAGTGTGTGTGACAATAGCATTGATTTAAGATATTCTTAAGCATCCAATCATTTGTTGCGGGCAGCATTTTTTATAACTTTTTTTTGACATCAATGTCGTGGCTACACTATCCAGTTATCGAACATTTACAAACAAAATTCTGCAAGTTGTCATCATAATTGTTTGGTTCTTTTGTAGTTCGGTATCGAATTATGTATGAGCGAGTTTTGATCTGAGTAGTAGTTTCGCTTCGATGTTCATTTTGACGTTTTCTTTTGTTATGCTGTTTCTGTCAACAGTTTTTTGCTCAGTAGGTGTCTTATGTATGTATCAAAATTAGATGTCAGTGTATCAAAATTTTTGGCAGCTTTTCGAGCTAAAAACATCAAGCGGGCGGGAGGGAGGTCTTTTTGTCCAAAAAAAATTTTTTTTTCTTCAAGTACCTTAGGTAGATTCATTTTTTGAACTGCATTTCCAAAATTCGCTTCCGTGGACCACATTTTGATGGAGGAGATTAAATGAATTATGGTGTTGGCGTATGGCACTTTTCCATTCGGAAACACCTTCACGTAAGTTGGAGATCATAGATCATTCGCTTACGAATATTTTAGAAGGGACGAGTTGCTGCAGTTTCCAATTCCAAGATTGTCGAAGAAGTTTCATCTGAGAGATAGGGGCATCAAAGATTTGGAAACAGATCGATGTAGTTAGATTCAGGGAGAGATTAGCGGCTTTGGTAAATGTAATGTAGCAACAGTAACCAAGGATCCAATCGGTGACTAGGTAAAGTTTAGGTCATCATAAAGACTATGGTGGTAAGTATCTCATCTTTCAGCTAAGCGAAGTAATTGCAATGTTTTTGCGTTTCATTAGAGGTGCAGAAGACATTTCTGAAATGTTTCAAATCTGATCGAAATTTTCTTGCGAATGTATGCACTGGTAGTCCCGGTACGTTCTTTGCTTTTGCGTTTACTTTCTTATCCCTTGAAGTTCTAATTATTTAGGAGGGAATGGAGCTAGGATTTTGTTCATTTTGCTATATGTACTATAGCGAACAAAAAGGAAAAGGAATTACTCAGTCTTTTTCTAAACAGTGGCTTGTTTTACACAATCATAGAATGAAGATATTTGCAGTCCATAAGGAACAAGTTTACATCGTTGTTTTAAACACTCAACAAGTTTTAAACACTAAACTTTGCAGTAACTGTTTTTTATGCGTTTGAGTACTAATTCTTAAAAATCTTAATGCACATCCGTTTTTGTGATTTGTCTTTCGATTCTGATGATCACGTTTTTTGCCTGGTTTCGAATATTTTTATCGTTTACAACATTTTATAAAAACTTTTTGGTGAATCGTGCGTGAATAAAGATTTTGCCCAACTGTTTGTTGTACAAGTGGCAAGTACATAGTAATTGCAATGCTCCGGGAGTTGTGTATATGTATGCTTCCAATAGCGTTGTATTGAAAGGTATGGTGTGGTGGATGGTTGTGCTTGTACCAAAAAACGTTAGATCCTTTCTGGATCTTGTGCTATGCATCAGATCCACGAGGTGCATAGAGATAGAAATAGCAGTGCAGTTAAAAAATTGTCCGCAGGGCGCTTCGAGCGTTTGTGAAAGATGGAAATTCTTGCATTCCAAGCAATATATCAGGTGGGTCCGAAAGTTCTGTCGTTTCATTTTCGAAAATTTGTAACTTCGCGAAATTTCAACGGGATTTCCTTGTCTGTAATTTTAGTAGAAAGAATAATCCTTTCTCTTTCAAACGCTTTTTTGTGAAACCTCTGTTTCACACTAAGCGCGGAGATAAAAATAGAAAACTAGGACTAGATAAACTTTGACCATTTTAAGTTAGGTCACCAAAAATCTGGAATGCTGCAGAAAAATCTGAAATCGGCAGTACGTTTGTTTTTTGACCTTTTCTTTGCAGCTGTGAAGAGTTTGTGCTGTTTGGACGTCTCTGTGAGAAGTTATGAATATCGAGTTTACTAAAGAAAACGCCAAAATTATTTAATTTGTCAATTTTCGCGAAAATCATAACTTTTCACAGAGACGTCCGAATAGCACAAACTCTTCACAGCTACAAAGAGGAGGCGAAAAAACATATGCACTGACGATTTCAGATTTTTCTGCAGCATTCCAGATTTTTGGTGACCTAACTTTAAAATGGTCAAAGTTTACATGGTCTTAATTTTCCATTTTTATCTCTGCACTCAGTGTGAAACAGAAGCTCCACAAAACAATGGCTGAAAGCGGAAGACCTAATCTTTCTAATGAAATTACATGCAAGCAAATCCGTTGAAATTTCGCGAAGTTACAAATTTCTAAAAATCAAACGACAGAACTTTCGGACCCACCTAATATATAGCGGCCCGATGTGGAGAAGCTCAGAATTGCAGGGTGTGTCAATCTCAAAAATTTTACAGTGGAAGAGTAATCTATGCACTTAATGTATCTGCAAGTTCATTGCTACATAAGCATTATAAGACTTGGATTTTAAGACTGAGTTAAATAGCTCTTGTGCAGTTCGAAGACACCTTGGGTGTATCTATAATAACTGAGCTAAAGCTGAGCAAAGCCGGTCTTCAAACAATGCATTTTTCTGAAGCCGCGCGGACTTCTGCAATCCGGAGTGCTGTCCTCCTTGAGCGAATTCTCCCCAAACATTGCTGCGTTTTTGGCAGACATAATATGCAACTACGATACCTGTTCATTTTCATATTACGAACCCGCCAGCGCCATAAAAAGGCTCGGATTATACAAAAAATAGAAGTCAGTAATTTGACGTCCACGCCTTTGAATGATTTCAAGTGTAATATATTGGGGACTAGCTGGCAAACCTGGTTCGCCGGCCCCGTCAATAAAATTTTCGTAATCAGCATGCTCACTTATCAACAGTCGCCAACACCTAGAGCCGTAGTTCAAACTTTGGATAAATTTATTTCGATAGATAATTAGAAGTAGCCTACGATATCCGCCCCGCTCTGAAGTGTATGTCTCCTAAGTTTGATCCTGATCGGTCCAGAAATGAATTTCAATTTGGAGCAAACTTACATACA